TCCTATCCTCCTGTCTCAGTGACCCCCACCTGCCGGAATTCCTGCCCTTGTGTAATCCCCTCCCCTTGAGTGTGGGCTAGACCTAGTAATTCACTTTTAATAAAATATGATAAAAGTGTTAGGATGTCACTTCTGAGATCTGCCTTGAAGAATTGTTAAAAGAAGTTCTTCAGAAAGAAGAAAAATGATATAGGGCTGAAACTTGGATCTACATTTAAAAAAGGAAGAATGTTTGAGAAGGAATAAAGGTATAAATAAAATAAAATCTTACATTTTTCTTATTCTTAACTGACCTAACAGATAACAGATTGTCAAAAAAAAAAATAATAGCAACAATGTATTGGATGATTATAGCCTACGGATAAGTGAAATGAATGACAGCAGTGTTAAAAGGGACAGGAGGAAGGAATTGGGAATATTCTGTTATAAGGTACCTGCAGTACCCACGAAGTAGTATAGCGTCATTTGAAAGTGGGCTTGGATTACTTGTAAATGTGTTTTGGAAACTCTAGGGCAACCACTGAAAAATGTAAAAATAAGAAATATAATTGAAATTTTAAGAGAGGAGAGAAAGTGGAATCATAAAATGCTCAAAGTCAGAGAATACAGAAAAAGGGTGGAAGACAAAAAAAGAGAAACAAACAAAGAACAAGGTCGATGAATAGGAAACAGTTACAAATATGGTAGATATTAATCTAATCATACCAATAATCACTTTAAATGTGAATGGTCTAACTATACTAATTAAAAGGCAGAGACTATCAGAATGGATTAAAAAAAGACCCAACTATATGTTGTCTTACAAGAAACTCATTTTAAATATAAAGACATAGATAGATTAAGCCTAAGTGGATAGAGAAAGATATACACGCTAACATTAATAAAAAGAAAGCTGGAGTAGCTGTGTTAATTCTAGACAAAGCAGATTTCAGAACAAGGAAAATTATCAGGGACAAATAGGGGTATTACATAATGATAAAAGGGGTCAATACTCCAAGAAGTCATAACAGTCCTTAATGTGTATGCATCTGACAAAAATAGCATCAAAATACATGAGGCAAAAATGGTTAGGACTGCAAAGAAAAATAGATGAATCCACTACTACAGTTGGAGACTTCAACACCCCTCTATCAATAATTGACAAATCCAGCAGGCAGAAAATCAGTAAGGACATAGTTGAACTGAATAGGACCATCAATCACCTGAATGGAATTGACATTTATAGACCACTTCATTCAACAACAGCAGAATACACATTCTTCTCAAGCTCACATGGAATATTCCCCAAGATGGACCACATCCTGGGCCATAAAACACATCTTAACACATTTAAAAGAATAGTCATTATACAAAGTGTGCTCTCAGACCACAGTGGAATTAAATTAGAAATCAATAACAGAAAGATAGCTGGAAAATTCCCAGAAATTTGGAGATTAAACAACACACTTCTAAATAACACATAGGTTAAGAAGAAGTCTTAAGAGAAATTGAAAAAATATTTTGAAATAAATGCAAATGAAACTGTAACTTAAAATTTGTGGAGTGCAGTAAAAGCAGTCTTAGAGGGAAATTTATAACATTGAATACATATATTAGAAAAGAAGAAGGATCTAAAACCAATAATCTAAGCTTCCACCTTAGAAAACTAGAAAAAGAAAAACAAATTAAAACTAAAGTAAGCAGAAGAAAAGAAATAAAAGAGCAGAAATAAATGAAATTGAAAACAGAAAAATAGAGAATCAACGAAACCAAAAGCTGATTCTTTTTTTGTGTATGTGAGGAAGATTGGCCCTGAGCTAACATCTGTAGCCAATCTTCATCTGTTCGCTTGAGGAAGAGTGTCCCTGAGCTAACATCTGTGCCAATCTTTCTCTAGTTTGTCTGTGGGACACCACCACAGCATGGCTTGATGAGCGGTGTGTAGGTCCCTGACCGGAATCTGAACCTGTGAGCCCCAGGCTGCTGAAGCAGAGTGCATGAACTTAACCACTACACCACCCGGCCAGCCCCTAAAAGGTGATTCTTTAAAAAGGTCAATAAGATTGGTACGTCTCTAGCCAGGCTGACCAAGAGAAAAAGAGAGGAGACAAAATTACTAATTTCAGAAATGAAAGAGGAGCCATGCCTACTGATCCCATGGACATTAAAAGGATAATAAGACATATTATGAACAACTCCATGCCCACAAATTTGATAATGTAGATGAAATGGACAAATTCTGTGGCTCACTTTTAATAAATAGGATATGGCAAAAGTGTTGGGTTGTCACTTCTGAGCTTAAGTCATAAAAGGACCGTGTCTTCCATCTTAGGTTCTCTCTGGCTCTCTCTCTCACCAGCTGCCATGTTGTGGGGGAGACTCAGGAAGTCTATGGATAGGCCTACGTGACAAGGAATTGAAGCCTGACAGCAACTACATGAGTGAGCTTGGAAGTGGATTTTCTGAGGCCTGCCAACAGCCATGTAAAAGAGCTTAGATGTGGACCTCCCACTCCAATTGAGCCTGCAAATGAAACTGCAGCCCCAGATGGCAGCTTGAGCACAACTTCATGAGAGACTTTGAGCCAGAGGCACAGGGCTAAGCCATGCAGAGATCCCCTACCCACAGAAACTGTCATGTAATAAATGTTTGTTGTTTTAAGCTGCTAAGTTTTGGGCAATTTGTTACACAGCAATAGATAACTACTACATACCCTTTGACCCGGAAATTCCACTTCAATGTTCATACACTAGAGCAACTTTTTCCAATCTTTTTCACATCAGAGCATATGTTAAAATGCTAATAATTGAGCCAGTTCACTGGGTTGAACAGACAGTCTGCTCTTAGCCAGAGGCAACAGTCCCCAGGGCAGCAGCTAAGTGAAGCCAGGCCCATCTTCCTGGAGGGCTAAGGGAATCAATATGTCAGAATACCCATTACCCAGCTGGGAAGCTCTGTCCGGGAGAAACTCATCCATATGGGCACAAGGAACCATGTGCTAGGATGTTCATTAAATCCTCATTTATAATTGCACAAAACAGAAACAACCCAAGTCCATCAGCAGGGAAAGAGAGAAAGACATTGGATAACTGATGCAACAGAAGTCCATTTAATAATATATTATACTAATATTATATTGGGAAATTGATACAATACCATTCAGCAGTTAAAATACATGACCTAGATCTAAATCTATCAAACTGCTAAATTTCAAAACAAATAAAATTAAGTGAAAATTTAAGTTGCAAAAGAATGCCTTTATTATAATGCCATTTACATAATTTAAAACACATAACACAATAATGTGTCTTGGTTACAGATATATACATACATCGAAAAAGAAAAACAAACATGGACAAGAAGGAAACTTCTAAACAGTGCTTCTTTTGGGAAAAGAAGTAAGACGAATAGAATCAAGTGAGGGCTTCAACTGTAATATTTTGTTTTGGAAACAGAAGGAGCTGAGGATCTGAGGAAAATAAAATTTGCTCAATCTGTGTGACAGGTACATGCAAATGTGCATTTTGTACTCTGTACTTTTCTGTATGTTTGAAATATTTTAAATATTTTTTATAAAAGAATACATCATTTCTTGAGTACAAAAATTACATTAGATCAGGCTTCTTAATTGTGTTGTTCAATCTCTCTAGATCCTTATTTATTTGCAGTCTATTTGATCGATCTAAGCCATAACAAGTGTGGTTAACTCTCCTATGATAATTGCAGACTTTCCGATCTCTCTTTATATTTCTAACAATATTTGCCTCATATGTTTTGAAATTACATTGTTTGGCTATAAATTTTAGTGACTATATCTTCTCAGTGAATGAAACAACTGTTTTGTTCTCATTAATGCTTTTTCTTTGAGTTCTTGATTTTTCTGATAGTAATATTGCTATGTGTTTCTTTCCTTTCTTCCTTCTTTCCTTCTCTTTTTTTCTCTCTTTTCTAAATTCCTTCCTTCCCCCCGCCTCCCTCCTTTCCTCCTTTTCTTCTTTTCTTCCTTCCTTCTTCCTTTCTGCTAGTATTTAACTGGCATATCATTTCTATTCCTATTTCTGCTTTAGATGAAACTCATATAAACAGCATATAACTGAATTTCTAAAAACGAAACGCTTAAAATGAGAGTTTGCTTTTTTAATTGGAGATTAACCCATAATACATACTGATATATTTGCATTTATTCCTGCCCTTTGTTTTTTCTTATTCTTTTCCATCCTTTCTTGTTGCCTCCCATCCCATTTCTGCCCTTTGTTAGACTGAGTTTTTCTCTTTGTTCTACATATTATTTCCTTAATAGTTTGAAAATTATACACCCTATTTCTTTCCTATTGTTACCCCTAAAAGTTCTTGTTGTTCTATTTTACATTTTATTTCCAGTAAGAACAAAATTTGCCATCGTTGTGAACATAGGAAGTCTTTACAATCAATGCAAATATTAGAGATACATCGTAAAGTGTGATTTTTAAAAAAGAGTTCAGAGTTTAGGAAAATTGTACAAATCCAAAAGGCATAACAATGCAATGACCACAATATGAATCCGTGAGTGCTTCATGATCGATCATTTCTTTTCATTTCAATCAAGAAACTTGATTTTGTCATTAAGAGCAACGAATTCTACCGTAAACTGTTCAATTTGCTTTAACCACCAGGTTAAAAAAATTTAAGCTTACTGCAACCCTAAATATAGTTTCACATTTTTAATACTTCCAGTCCAAACCATAACACATAACATAGGATATGATATATTAAGATAATCACTTTCACATTGGAATTAATCAGAAAGAATTTGCCGATTTCATTTTGTTAAAAAAAACACCACTCACAACAGAAGGGAATATGGCTAAATGTTTAACATTTGTTAAAGCTGGCTGTTGGTTACGTTTTTCGCTGTCCTTTTCTGTATCCTTGACGATTTCACCATTTAAAATGAAATAATGCTTTCGGGCCCACCCTGATTTGTCGAGAGCAGCTGCCACCCCCGCCACATCAAGGGGGCGGGCCCCAGCTAACGCCACAATCACTTCCGCCGCCGCAGTCGCCGCCCGCCCCACTGCTGTCTGGCGGGGGAGGAGCTGGAGACCCGGGACCAGCGGCTCTGGCGGTCGTGGCGGTCGGAGGTCTGAGAGCTCTGTTCCTCCCGAGAGCGTGCGGGTGCCTGGACTGGTGAGTGAAGGCTGTTTATTTCCTCGATTCATTCAGACGCGGCGGTGGGGCGCGTGGCTGGGCGTGGGGACGAGTGGCTGGGCGTGGAGGCAAGGATTTTCGGGGGCTCAGACGAAGAGGTTTTCAGGCTCGCCCCTCGGGAAGGGGTGGGGCGGGGCGGGCGGACGAGGGACCTGACTGCAGAGTGAGGCCTGTGTCCTCCATAGGCCTGCTTGCGGACTCCATCCTCCGTTCTCCAGCCCCTTTCGTGTGGCGCGGCCCCCACTTGAATGGCTTTAATCGCTGTATGAGAGGGGAATGGTGGTCGCGGCCCTCTCCCACCTCTCTCTGCCTCTCCTCCTCTCTCCTCCCTCCTGCCTTCTTGGCTCCTTTGCGGAGCACACTGTGGCCATTCTTCCCCCATTTCGCAGTTATTTTGCTGAATGGTAAATTGTTAAGATTTTTAGGTAAATATATTGTTCCCAGGAAAAGAGTTGTCGGAAAAACAGATTATTCCCAGGGAGAAACTATATCCACACAGGCCCTTTTCTTTCTTTTTCCGCTTCCCTGCCCCATCTGTTTGGTTTGGATCTGCTGTTTGAGCTGATAACATTTTCGTGTCTCTCATTATGACATTGTGGCCCCCTCCCCCTCCCCGTGTTTCGCGTGTGCACATGGGGACACACACATGCACGCACATACGCACATGCACACACATACGCACACGCACGCACAGAAACCTTCCATTGCAGCCCCCTCCCCACCCCCCTCATACTCAAGGTTGCGACACGTCCCCTTCCGTGCACATGCATGGACACACACACACACCGTCTCACACACTGTCATACCCTCCAGTGCCTTTCCCTACCTCTCACTACCTGCTCCATATACACCTTCAGAAGCGGCCCCCTCCTCCTTCTGCCTCTTTGTCCTCTGGAGAACACACACACACACACACACATATACACACACACACTCACTCACACACTCACACACTCTCACCCTCCCTCTGGGGCCGTTTTATCCCCTGCTTGCCACATACACACATAAGGATATCCCTCAGTTGCTGGCTTCTCTTTCCTATGCCTCTGACATACATATGCACACACACTTGTTCACACACCCCTCTCACATGCTTCCCTCTCCTGCTCCCTGTCTGCTACTTCTGTGCATAGACAGCCCTCCTTTGCTGGCCCCTGCACTGCACACACTCACACTCACATAAATCCTTTTCCCGGGACACCACCCCCCTCCCTGCTAATCACATTCATGCATGCAGACCTTTGACTGCTGGCCCCTGTTCCACCTGCCCGCCACAAGCATATCCCTCTCCAGTGCTGTCCCCTCATCGATGCATTTGCTCACACTGACATTTCTCTATTGTCGCCTCCCATTTTGACAAACACACATACACAAACTCATGGCCACCCCTGTCCAGTGCCACCATATCCTTCCTTGCCTGCCACAGATGCATAAACACAGGCGTCCCTCCATAGAGTTCCAGCTGCCACACATACAGCAACACACACGCATTCTCTCTCATACTTAGACACAGCCCTCTCCTCTAAAGCCACCCCATCCACGCCTGTCATTTTCATCCTCGCATCCAGGAGAGGTCTCATTCTGTCTGACACTTCACACCTCTTCCCAATGCCACCGTCACCTGCCCCTTCCCCTGCAGACACAGACATCTCTCCATTGCCTGATTGCTGGTCCCCTCCACCTGCCCCTCTCCTCCCGACAGACATGTAGGCACTCATGCACACATGGTGATCTGTATTTTCCACCCTATTCCAATTTGCATTTCTCCTGTCTGTCTGCAGGGCTCAGAAAAATGCAGACACCCCATAAAAAAAAACCGCAGCAGTCTTTCCTCTTCCCATGTTGGCACAATGCCACAGTACTTCACCCACCTTCCAAGCGTCCAGTCACCCCCCATCTTCTGTCAGATTCTGCCTTAAGTCTGGCTTTCCTACAAACCCAGTTTTGTAATTGTTTTGCCAACATTAAAAATGTGTTCCAGGTCTACACCTGACAGTCACTGGAATGCAACTCCAGGCCTTAGAAGAAAGTGAAACTAACTCTAAAGGCCCCTTGTTCTTTCTGTTACCTGCCTGCTGAAGTGAAAATAAATCTCCCTGCTCCTTTATTCTGAACTCTTTTGACTTTCCCATCTCCCAAGTGTGTGCAGGGAGCAGGAGCCTTTCCACTTGAGCCCCAGCTGTCTTGGAAACCCTCCTAAGTCAGAGCAATGGGTCAGGAATCTAGCAAGCCTGTATGGCCCAAGCCAGCAGGAGGGTATCAGTCCAATACAGGCAGGAGGTATGGAAGGAGGCATGCTTATGTCAGTTTCAGGCCATCCACGAGCCAGCAGGAAAGAATTTCCAGCCAGAGAAAGACGACATCTGAAGTCCCAATGCACAGATCAGCCCCCGGTCAAACCACCAAGAGGAGTCGATCGCCATTTTCCACCACTCGTCGTAGTTGGGTCGACAGTGAGAGCTCGGGGACCAGCCTGAATGTTGATAATGAGGACTACTCCAGGTACCTGCCACGAGAGTATAGGGCTTCGGGTAGCAGAAGAGGAATGGCTTATGGACACGTTGACTCTTTCGGGGCAGATGATAGTGAGGAGGAGGGGGCTGGGCCTGTTGAGCGAGCGCCAGTGAGAGGGAAAACTGGCAAGTTTAAAGATGATAAGCTGTATGACCCAGAGAAAGGGGCGAGGTCTCTGGCTGGGGTGCCCCCACAGTTCTCTAGTTTTAACCGTGATGTGAGAGAGGAGCTTGACAAGTTAGACCCAGCCCCTGCAGCAAGATGCTCTGCTAACAGAGCTGAGTTTCTGCAGCAAAATAGCATGGCCTCTCAGATATCTGCTGCTGAAGGCAAGTTGGCTACAAGTGGCGACAGCCTGGAGAGGGAGAGGCGGGAGCAGAATTTACCTGCGCGTCCTAGCAGGGCTCCTGTAAGTATTTGTGGTGGTGGGGAAAACACCCCAAAGAGTGCAGAGGAACCAGTGGTGAGACCCAAAATCAGAAATCTGGCAAGTCCAAACTGCGTGAAACCAAAAGTATTTTTTGATACTGATGATGATGATGATATGCCACATAGTACTTCCAGGTGGAGGGACACTGCCAACAACGACGACAGCCATTCGGATAGCCTAGCCAGAAGAGGCAGAGGCGACAGTTCAAGTGGCTACTCTGAGCCGAAATACTCTGAAGACAAGAGGGAAGTCAGGAATGACCAGGTGAAGCCAGAAAAAGTGCCGAGACAGCGACGAACCATGGCTGACCCTGACTTCTGGACGTACAGCGATGATTACTACAAATATTTTGATGAAGACTCTGACAGTGACAAAGAGTGGACTGCTGCTCTGCGTCGGAAATATCGAGGTCGGGAGCAAAATCTGTCATCCAGTGGTGAAAGCTGGGAGACTCTGCCGGGGAGAGAAGAGCATGAACCTGAGCAAGCCAGAGTGAGTACCAGTGCCGGCGCCAGCCCCAGCGCTAGTGCTAGTGCTGGCATCAGTGGGAGCAATGAACTTGAAGAAGTTCGAGGACCATCTCTTCAGGAAGAGGAGCGGGCATCGCCGGAGGAAGGAGAAGTTCCTTGGCTCCAATACAATGAAAATGAGAGTAGCAGTGAGGGGGATAATGATTCTGGTCGGGAGTTTTTGCAGCCTGGAGTGTTCATGCTGGATGGAAACAACAACCTTGAAGATGACTCCAGTGTGAGTGAAGACCTAGAAGTGGATTGGAGCCTCTTTGATGGGTTTGCAGATGGGTTGGGGGTGGCTGAAGCCATTTCCTACGTGGATCCTCAGTTCCTTACGTACATGGCACTTGAAGAACGCCTGGCCCAGGCGATGGAAACAGCCCTTGCGCACTTGGAGTCCCTTGCGGTGGACGTGGAGGTGGCCAATCCGCCGGCAAGCAAGGAGAGCATTGACAGTCTTCCTGAGATCCTGGTCACTGAAGATCACAGCGCGGTGGGGCAGGAAATGTGTTGCCCTATCTGTTGTAGTGAATATGTGAAGGGGGAGGTGGCAACCGAGCTGCCATGCCACCACTATTTCCACAAGCCGTGCGTGTCCATCTGGCTTCAGAAGTCAGGCACCTGCCCCGTGTGCCGCTGCATGTTCCCTCCCCCACTCTAAGACCAAGGCTCTTTACTCCTGGTCTGATGATTTTCCCCAACTGAAACCCACAATACTGCAGGAGCCCTCTCGAAATTAACAATTGAAATGAAACCAATCATTGATTAACCTACACCTGTCAATTCCTTGTGGTTATTTCCAATGTGAAAATGGTTGTGTACGATTGCATTAAAATTCATATTGTCTGTTAGAGGTTAGAAAGGAAAAACTAAACTTTCTAAATGCTACTTGAGATTGCAGGAAGAACATACTTTTTCTAGCCTGAAAGTTGAAATAAATTGCATTTGTTTTCTTCAGTAGAATGTGTTGCTGTTAATTGTAACGTCAAGTTTATCTGTGAAATATGTCCAAAAGGCATCATCATTTCTGTTGCATGTTATGGGTTAATGTTCCTGTAATTGCAGTGCCGTAAAAACTTATTAAAGTTCTTCTTTTGGTTTTACATGGTACAGTGGAATTGTTTGGTTTTGTCTAAAATGGTGGTACTAAGTGATTTTATAATTGATCTCTTGTATTTGCATCAAAAATAGGTTTTTTCCCAATAGCATAAAAACTTGAGTTTCAAGGGAAATGCTGACTCCAACAACAGCAAAAAATTAAGGCTAATTCTAAAAGTAGGAATAAAGTGTATGATTGTCAAACTACTACAGGGGTAAGGGTCATAATGGGAATACTCTGTTAGTCTGTGGGAAGGAAAGAAACAATGAGAAAGCAATGTAAAAATAAAGAACAATGGTAGGAATAAATCCAAACTGAGTGCAGGGGTGAAGGAGTTAAAATCCCCTTTTAGAAAGTAGAAACTCTCAGACGGAGTGGGCAAAAAAACAATAAAGCTGTCTGCTGACTGGATACCTTAACACAGTGACACAAAAAGAGTAGAAAAATATATGCCAGACAAGTGCTTGCAGAAAATATTGGTATCCACCTACACAGAATGGACAGGTTTGAACGTTTGGCCATATTGGCTTCAGAGCTCTCTCTCTCCAATAAGTAGAATTTTTCAGGCACAGGTAAAGTTCCTCACCCGTCATATTTACCTTCCTTCCTGCACAGAGGTAAGCACTACCCAGGAAATGGTGTGTTTACGTCTTCTCTCTGTTTTTAGACATATGTATGTGTGTATATGTGTACATATATATGTATATGTGTGTGTGTATATATATCCATGACCAATATAGAGTGTTTATGTTTTTTAAATGGACATGATTGATAGAATGTATGTATCGTTTTGCAACTTGTTTTTTCACTCAGCACTGTTTTTAAGATGTAGCCATTTTGATACATGTAGATCTAGTTCATGCATTTTAACTGCTGTATACGAAAATAGTCAATTGTATGAATCACCACAGTTTATTTATCCATTCCCCTATTGGTGGACATTTAGGTTCTTCCCAGTATTTTGCAGCAATGAACATACCTCAAAGGTGTCTCTTTGTGCACACGTGTGAGTTTCTCTAGGGGTGAGTATATGGAGATGAAATTTCTGGGTCTTAGGATTGGAGGTGAAATTTTGGGGTCTTCAGGTTTGAGCATCTTTGTCCTAACTAGATATTGCCAAACTGCTTTCCAAAGTGATTGTACTAATTTTTGCTCCTACCAACACTTCTTGAGAGCTGTTTTCAGCTTCAGCAGCCTGGATATTGTTAATGTTCAACCTCGCTGGTAATCAGTGACATATAAATTAACACAACAATGAACATATTGTGTCCCTCAGAATGCAGTAGTTTTTCTTCGTGATACCATCTAGTTTGGGCTAGGAAGAGAAGAAATGGGAGCACTCATGCTTTTGGTGTGAATGTGAGCGATGGCAGCCTTTGTGGAGAGCAGTTCGGGAGGAGCTGTCGTTCACGATGGAAAGTGGCGCATGTCCTGCAGCCCAGCTTGGAGACTTGGGTAGAACGGAATTAATACTGTGCAGCAGTTAAAAAGTGTACTGACATGGAAGGAGCTCCGAGACAGAATGTTAAGTAAAAAAAGCATATTGTAGAGCAATGTGTACAGTCTTTATGGAAAATAAAACCTTATAAAACCGAACTATATATGAAAATGTATAAAAGTGTCTGGTGGCAGTGGGGAAGGGGTGAGGAAGGGGGCTTTTGATTTTTTCACCCAAAATAATTAATTTGCTTGATTTTTTACAGTATCAGTGTATTTTCATGAATATTAGCAAAATAAGTAAAGCCAAAAAAAAATCCAATTTAAAAAAAAGGAAGAGAGAATTATTATTCTCTCGCGGCAAGTATGAGAACATGGGTGGAAGCCACAGTCCTTTTTTTCTGTAACTGGTCAAGCTGACATTTATAACTTCATCCCCCGCAGCCATTCTGTGTTCCCTGTTTGCCTTCGCTAGCACCTCAGCTGTCATGGAGACTCAGAAGTCTGCGACCTTGGAGGGCTCTTGTTGTGTGGGGTTGTGGTGGTTTGTCTAATATTAACCTTTTCTGTGCCCTGACTGGCACCACACAAGGGGGTATGTTAGGAGTACCCTTGGGTCCCGGTCCTGTTCCTTCCTGCTCCCTTCCATGGCAGAAGCCCTAATTTCCCTTCGAGTCAGAATTAGTACCTCCACAGAAGGGGACTCCTCCCCAGCACCTGCAGTCCCCTGTTGGTGTTGGAGAAGCCTGTCGCTGCAGAGGGTCGTTCTGGAGGTGAAGCTCTCCTGAGTAGGGACGCCCACAAGGCTCGAGACCTGGGCCCTGGGTGCTGGGACCTGAGCAGCTGGGACTTGGGCCTGGGACCTGAGCTAAGTGCATCAGACACTCATGCCCGGTACCTTCAATCTGGAGGGGGAAGTCAGAGGGGCTGGGGCTGTGAAGCGTTTGCTCCTCTGCTGCTGTGGTGATGGCGGCGGTGGTGGTGGCAGCGCGGGCCTGGGCTGACAGTGCTGGTGGCCAGAAGCTCCTGGGCAGGATACGGCTGTGTCCTTGGCTTCTTAGTTCCCTTGTTCCTGCCAGTTTCTGATTCTCCAGCCTCCCTGATAATTCCCCAAGCTCCCCCATGGCTTTCTAATAAAACTGCTCTGCTTAAATTAACTAGATTTGGTTTCTGTTGTTTGTAACTGAGAACCCAAAATGGCACACTTGCCAACACCACAGCCCACTTTTGTGCCTGTTTTCCTAGTCACATGAGATATCCCAAATGGCCATCGGCCAGGCAATTTCCGTTTACAATGCAGTGGGCCCATTATTGGCACCTGGAGCTATGGTTCTAGAACACGGTTCTAGCACAGCAGGCCTTGGGGGCTGTTAGACACGAAGCAGTCATTTCTGAGAGTAGGTTATTTGGTGTATTCATTGAAGGTGCCACCCACTCTACTCCACTGGTTTCTGGACTTGTTTCCTGGCTGTGGAATACATAGCCTCACAGTTTGGTCACTGATTTGGAGCGTAAACCACTACATCTTGTGAGAAAGCACCGCAGCTTCCTGAGGTGTTCCCACCAGCTGGCACTACAGCTGAACCGTCATAAGGCGCTTCCTGGCTCTGAGGCACCGCTTTCTCTTAGCCCTCTGTTCCAGCTAGACCTACCCTTGTGCCGGGACCTCTGACCTTAAAAGTCCTTTCCAGCCCTGTCAGTTCTATCCATCCTTAAAAAATCCTGGTCACGTGATAGCTCCTGAAAACACTATTTTCTGATAGCCCTAGCTCCTTCCCTCTTTGCATCCCGACTCTGAATCCGTGTGGTCAGGAGCTATCTCTGTCTGAGTCATTGCAATAGTCCTGGCACTCAGGGCTTGGCTCAGAAGTGTTCGGCAACACTTGCTGACAGGATGAATGAGTTCCTCTCCCAAGGTGGGCTCAGGGTAGGGGTTGTGTCGCGGGGGCCTGGCCCAACCAGGTGCGTCTGACTCAGCCTTAGCCCCGCTCTCCCTCCCAACCCCCCAGCCCCCGCCAGCCTTTGCTGGCCCTGATGCCCCTCCTCCTCCCGATCTGCCAGTCTCCCTTCCTCCTACCCTCTGTCCCATTTTCTGTTTGTCCCGCTGAATCCGTAGTGTTTCAGAGGCACTTCTCCGGCCCAGGCTCTATGCCTAGAAAGTGGGGATCCTCTTTGGCCTGGGTTGACCCTGTGACAGGCACAGGACTGATAGGACACTTGTCCATCTGCCACCCGGCCCCAGCCTTGGACGAGGCCTGGCACGGAGCAAGCCAGGTTCTGGGACCCATGAGCAGCATTTTCAGCCTGCCCTGGTGTTCTCATTTGTGGGACAGGGCTTTGCAGCTAGGCACATCATCGCTGCAAGTTTCTGCCGACCCCTGCACATTTCTCACTCTGTTTCCCCTGTGGACTTCACTGTCTCAAAGAGGGTGGGAAAACAGTAGTGAAGCTTCATAATTCCTTACATTTGGATAAGAGTTCCCCAGACCCTTTCACATTCAGTAATGTCACTGGATCCTCCTGTCAACACCAGAAGATGAACGATGAGGAGACCGAGGTTCCGAAAGGTGGGGGCAGTACTAAAGAGAGAGTAAGAGTATGTCTGCTTGGTGGGAGAGGACAGCAGGATGTCTTCTCTGCACCTGTACCAGCCCCGGTGTGGTGAGGAGCAGGCAGGGCTCCGCTCCTCATCGTTAAAGCCCGGGCTGGCTCCAGCTGGACCCTATTCAAGTGCGATGGTCACAGGCACTACAGGCTACCAGCCTCCCAGCAGCACACTGAGGGACCAGGCAAGAGCAGCCTGGGGGCACCCAGACAAGAGGGCACCAGGCATTTGGGTTGGAGGAGGAGGAGGAGAAACAAGACATAGAATCATAGAGGGGTTCTTCCACAGGAGCTGGGGACTAGGAGACAGTAACTGCTTAGAGAGAGTCGGAGGAATGTGGCGGAAGCAAGGCCTGGGAGTCAGCCTAGAGGAAGGTAGGGACTGGGCACTGAAGCCTGAAGACAAATCTCCAGGGAGCCTGGGGAACCAAGCCCCAGGCACTGCTCACCTCAGACCATGCTTGCATTCAGCAAACGTGTTCCTGCACACTCCACACTTGGAGCTGGGGATCCAGAGCTAACTAGTTTAGTTCACCAAATATTTATTGACCTTCTGCCTGTGGTGTGTTGGACCAGGGCCTGCGAGAGATGAATAAGGCTTAGTCCTTCCCTCAAAGAGCTCATAGTCTAGTGTGGGAAACAGACTTGTTAAGAGAGGATCGCAACTTTCTGTGGAAAGTGCTACGTGGAGGCAAACACAGGGTGACCCAGGAGTAAAGAGCCTGGCTGGCTGTGCTGTGAAGGGGGGCTGGTGGTTGGGGGCATCCTGGATGAGCCCACTTTGAAACAATGAGAGGCATTAGCCAGGGGAGGAAAGGGCGGGGGCTGGGCGGGCGGTGGGCCCTTTCAAATGTGATCTATAGTGGGCATGTCATTTGGTTGGTTTGTTTGAAGGACCCTTTAGTGAAATGTATTAACATTTAAAATCCACACGCTCTGACCCAGCGATTCCACTAGCAGAATTTCTCCTCCATGAGCGAAAGCACAAGGTTGTTTGTACAAGGATATTTATTGTTATATTGTTTGTAATAGCAGGAGACTGGGAAGCATCTCACCGTCCGTCACTGGGGGCCTGGTAAAATAGATTATGACACAGTCTTCAGATGCTTCACTAGAAAGCCTTTACCCAGCGTGAGGCAGTTCTCCAGCTTGCCATGTGAGAGTATCCCCAAACCAAGAAGTTACAGGAGTGAGGCCAAGATCAGTGGGCACAGTTATGCATATTTCACACAAGATACATCCACATCGGCACTTACCTGTCCAGAATGTCTCTGGAAAGATGTACGAGAAACAGGCGCTGAGGTCAGGGATGAGAAGGAGCCTCACTTTTTACTGTATGCCCTTTTGTCCTTTTAGAGTTTTCATTAATCGGATCTTTTTTTTAACCATGTGTATACATGATCACCAGAGAGAGAGAGACAGGAGGGAGGGAGAGAGGCAGGAGGGCAGAGAGCTCAGGCAAAGGGAACTGAATGAACAAAAGCAGGTGTCTAGGGGTATAAACTAGTCTGGGGGGAGTGGGCGTGTGCGCGTGTGTGTTAGGGCCTGAGTTGTGGGGAACAGGGATTCTCCCAGGTGACTTCCACTCATCACGCGGGTAGTTGACTGTCAGGATACAAGTGGGAAAATGGCAGCCAGGACTCTCAGCCACAAGGCCAGGCCCCTGGGAACCAGACACTTTGGCCCAAACAGGCTTTATAGGGAGAAGAGGAAGCACAGTGCACCTGACCTCATGAGAACATGGTGTGGAGGCTGGAGGGCAGCCCAGCACCCAGAGCAGGTCCACTACCGTCTCAGGTATGTAGAAGAGATCTCCAGATTGTGTGTGTGCAGAACAGAGAGATAATAAGGATTCTACCATCATGTTAGCTAACAGTGGTGGGATTATGGGTAATTTTAATCTTCTTTCTTTTTGGGGGGCATTTCTCCATTTCTCTTTCAGCAAGCAAGTGTTCAGGGAGAAAAAGTTAAAAGAAAATTGCAATGTTACTGGAACACTGACTCAAACCTCTCAAGGCCCTCCTCAGCCACCCTAGTCCTTCGGTGGTGCGGGCTCCCCGAAAGGCCATGGCGTTGGGAGTCAGACCTGTGTCCGAAACCATTTGCATGCTAATTAACTGTGAGTGGTAAACAAGGCACACACCCTCCCTCAGCCTCGGTATGCTTATTTATAAAATGGGACAAAAGAATCCTCATCTCACAGGATGGTTGGAATGAGCAAACGAAGTAACAGATGGACAAAATACGCTATATAAGCATAAGGGGGTGGTTGTTGTTGATTCTTACTGTTTCTCCCGCCTCTTGTTTCTGGGCTGGAGCAGCAGGAGCCCAGGGCTCAGAAGAAAAACCACTACTCCCTGGGTGGAAAGGATCCCCCCCACATCTCTCTGCAGCAACTTAGCCAGGCCGACTCTAGATGCCTGGCCCCGGTCTGGAGAAAAATACTTCGCAAGAGTCCAACATTCCCTTTGGAAGCAGAGTGTGGCAAGCTGGGGGAGGAGGAGGAAGCAAAATGTTTGCTATTTTTTTCTGTGCAATTGACTCTGCCGGCCG